ACAAGGCACCCAGGCTCCCCAGGGCAGGATGTCAGCGCCTGCCCCTAGGCCCCGCATGCCCCTCCCTGCACCTCCATCCACCCCGCTGCCCTGCCAGCTCACCTCCCCCCCCCTCCCCCCCCCCGCCCTCCCCCCCCCCCCCCCCCCTGTCCGTCTCCCCCCCCCCCCCCCCCCAGCCTTTCCTGGGCTCCTGTGCCCACAGGCTGCCCCTCCTGCCTCTAGTACCTGATCCAGCATGTCGCTGGCCAGGGCGTCCGCACACGGGTCTGGCCCAGCCTCCACGGCCCCGTCTGAGAGGAGCCCGGCTCATCAGACGTGTCCACTCCGGGCCTCAGGTGGCCACCAGTCTGCTCCTCCCCCTTCTCTGAGGCCGGAGAGGCTGCGTGTTGTGCCGCTCTCGGCGGGGCTGTGTGCAGAGGACGCAGCACCGTATCAATAGGATAATGACAGTCATACTTGTAGGTCTAGGACCCATCTGTGGGGGTGCTGGCCTGGGCCTCCCTGCCTGCCCTCTGCAGGGAAAGGTCACCCTGGCCAGGGCCGTCAGTCCCCACAGGTAGCGTGATTAGTGCTTGCGGTATTTAGATGTTTCTCCTCCGCACAATTAAGCAGGGCTAATTGGCTGGGTTATTTTCTCCACACTGGACACGCTGGCTCCCCGCTACCACTCGGGCCGCTCCCCTCGGCCTCCCCACACAGCCCTGACCCACTTGCTCTCCCTCCCACTCATCTGCTAGCACCAGCCGGCCAAGGCCTCCAAGGCCCCCCGAAGGTGCTGACCACTGGGCATCCGGAAAGAGGGGCTGGGGGCGCAGAGCCAGAGGACAGACAGTGGGTGTGCCTGCAGAGGACAGCATCGGAGGAGCTGGGCAGTGGGCAGCAGGGTGGGCTGGGTTGGCCTCCTCAAGTTGCACCCGCCTCCCCTCCCCAGAGACAGGCGGACCGGACAGTGGCTTCCAGGCGGCAAGGGGCCTCTTCCCACTCTGCCCCCGCCCAGGGCCCTGGGTCACACCACCCCCTTCTCGCAGAGCTGAGGGTGGCTGTGGAGCGGGAAGGATGGACGTGGCGGCCATAGGACTGCCCAGCCATGGCCACAGAGTTGACATTGGCTCAGTGACAGCTGGTGAATTGTCCCCGAAGGGGGCTTGGAGGCATAGCAGTGCAGACCCCCACTCAGTCTGGCCACAGACCCCCTCCCCACCCCCGCCTGTAGAGAGGGCTGCGGGCAGGGCCAGCCAGTGGGAAGCTGCTGGCCGGGGGTCGGAGTGACGGACGAAGGCGGGGGGCGGGCTGCAGGCGCTAAGGTTGGGGAGATGCGATTCGAAGAGGAGGCGTCCTATGTGGACCGCCCCCACCCCGACTGCCACCACTCCGGCCCACTGATGGCGACCCCCGTGGGCTCCCTGACAGCCACGTCGGCCCCTCCCCTTCCAGGAAGCTGGAGGTCTGGCTCAGGGCACCTGCCCCAGGGGCAGAGCCTCAGCATCCCTGCTCCTAGTCTGGCTGTCCCAGGCTGCTCCTTGGCATCTCAAGGTGATTGGCTGAAGACAGCCCTTCAGGGACCCGGCCTCATTAGCATAACAAAGGAACTCGCTTACAAGTGGAATTACATCCAGAGATAGAAGCCAGCCAGCCCTGAGTCTGCGCCCACTCACCCCTCCCCTCAGTCAATGAGGAACTGCCCTGAGGGGGCACTGCAGTGTCCCACTGAGGACAGGACAGTCTGCCCCAGGAGGCCCAGTCTCCGTTGGGTGCTCCCCTCGGTCCTTGGGGCCTGGGACCAGTGCTCAGTGCTCTGGACCACGCACACATACACACACACTCACATGCACTCCCACACCACAGGCACACATACACACGCACACACATGTGAGCATGCATACGCACATGCACTCCCACACCACAGGCACACACACACACACATGTCCAGACTTCAGGCCCAGACCCATGCACACCCACACCACAGGCACGCACACATGCAAGCACGCATACACGCGCGAGCACACACACCACAGGCATGCACACATGCATAAGTGCATATGTACACACAATGGGCACACACACATGCCTGATCTGTTTCCCCAGTAGGATGTCGACTTCTTACCCACCCCCAG